TCTCGCGATAAATTACGCGCGCCATGGTATTCTGCGCGGTCTCATTGCTCCATTCAGGGCCGTCTGAACTGCTAAACTGACATTATTGCGCGTAACGCAAGTGCTCCGGCGTATTCGAATTTATTCGGTGTGCAAGCCGTCGACAGGTTCGTTCGTATGCATAGCCCGGCATGTTGATTGGCTGGCACGCAAAGTCGTGCTCTCACGCCGGCAAAGTCCGCCCGTGGCTGCTCTATGCCCCCGCACCGAGCGGATATTGCACACGCGTTGTATTAATATGTATTTAAATTAGTGCCTCAAAGCGATACGAAATTACGGCGCCCGCTGCCATACACGGCTGCTGGCGAAATACACACGAATTGCTTAGGCCGATCATGAATGACGCAATGTCCTCGCGGTATCAAAATTCCGAGAGCTTTCATCCCTTTCCCCCTCCCTCCCAGCGCTTTGTATTGTCACACCACCAATTATCAATTCAACGTCAAACTCCGAAATCCCGATTCTGAGTTTTGCCCATTCCTCTTCCCTATTCAATACGCGAATGGCAAAAGAGACGAAAGAACTGACGTAATTATTATACCTCATCACAATTATAATATAAGATTACACCTCATCACAATTATAATAATTTTAATCATTAGTTTTATTATATACAATTTCGTCATTATAATAATCGTCATAATAATCATCATCGAAATTATCATTATTTTTAACATAATTTCTTCAATTTTATTATATCCCGCATAGAAAATTTGTTTCTGCTCATCATTTTACGTTAAAACTGAATGTTGACTGTTTAAATAAAAAAATATCATTATTCAGTAAAATACTCAAAGCATTTTAAAAATATTTTATTCTATTAAGTACAATAGTTAGTATAGAAACGGGATTCTCTGCTTGATACTATAAAAGTGTATTGACATGTATGACAGACTGAAAAAAAACATGAGTTCCCATAGCATTTTTGTTTTAACTCTAGATAGAAAACATGTTTGAGACAAGAATGGAGTTTCTAATTGGTATTATAGTGGGATAACCAATATTGAGATAAATTTGAACATTCCAATCTATATTGCGTGTAGGAAATCTTCGGAAATTTCTATGCGGGACTTTCGCCATCACTTGCATCATCAGTCGTTATTACTTTTTTCTTTTATTAAAATATAACGTGTGTTACACTGTTAAATATTGGAGGGTCAAATTTAAACCAATTTCTTGAGTTAAATAATATTTAGTTATTTTTAACTATCATGTGTATCAAAATTTACTATTTTAACACAAAACATGTGTTTAAAAAAACAACCACATCTAATCAACCCATTTAAAACAATATTAAGTCATTTTTTACTAAAACAAATGTTACATTAACGTGCACATAATAAAAAATAAACTAAATTTTAGTCAAATTTAATCATTTTTGATAATACAAAATACTACACAATTAATGTAATTTTGTATCATTAAAAACAATTTTGTATTCCATATCCTTTAAGAGAAATCGTGGTCCTACTGACTTAAATATAAAGTCAGCAAAATAAAAATTGTTAAAAAAACGAAACAAATAATAGATTTTGTCGTTTCAGAATTTGTACCAATTTGTGTCACCAAAAAAAGTATCAAAAGTATTTCTTAAGTTAAATTATTTAACTCCATTACATTAGTTAAATTAACAACATATTTAGTAGGAGCAGTAGACTTATAGGAGTGGTTAAAAATAACTCAAATTGAATATAATTTGACACTACTGATTTAACAGTGTAAAACCGAATGTCAAAGTCGAGTGTCAAAACAGGGTCTCAAATATCGAAATAGAAATTAGAAAATAACTTGCCGAGTCCCGAGAGACAACGATGAAACGAACAGTTTCTAACACGTCGAACACAAACACTCGCCCGAGGCGAAGAACTCGAAGTGATGTAACGAGTTACGCAACTTTACGTACGGTCGTAATCGCCGGTGAAAGAACGTCACGGCCGTACAAGCCGAGCTTCTCTTTCTTCTCTTTTTTTTTGCTCGATCGGAGAATGCGCGAAATCTCGGCAATGTCGCGCAGTCAACGACACAACGGCGACAGGACTGGCGGAATTGTTGCACGCGAAACTCGTGTCGCACACTCATTCCGTGCAATATGTCATACCAAAACGCACGTCGACCGTAGAGGACAGCGGCAACCCTTTAATCGCGACATCAGGAATCGGTAATTACGGAATTGGTGAATACCGTATTTCTGCATAAAGCTCGCCGCCGCGTCGTTCGCGCGCCACATCGTGCAATTTTAATTAATTGCACTGTGACAGGAGTAAACATGTTCGTACGGACCGCGAGCTAGAATTTTAGAAAGTTGAATCTCTCTTTCTCTCTCTCCTCTCCCTTTCTCTCTAGCATGTCACCCCCCTGTATTTGATAATCTAACCAGCGCGCGGGTCATCGAAAAAACGTTGCATCGCGCGGGAATACGTACGAACGCGAGAACAAAGAAAAGCGCGTCACTCGGCGGTATTTGTGAAACTCGTTACACCAAGCCGTTGTATCTTTAATTAGAATATTACAAAGTTATATCAGCAGACGTAGATCCAATTTAATCCGGATATTCTCGTCGCCAGCTCTCCTAAGGCTCGGGGATCCAAAGCTATTCTTTGTTTCAATCTCTCTCCCCCCCCCCTCTCTCGTTCTTTCTCTCTATCTCTTCGTCTATCTGTGGTCTTCTATTTTACGCCTCTATTCGTTCTGTCTCAATTCCTCGTTTTTAATCATTGTCTCCTACGCCTCCTACCCGGCCGTTCTCCTGAGCCAAGCACTTCTCCGCCACGTTCTCGTCGAGGTAAGACAAATACCGGCGCGTCAAATCGTTTAAAACTTGGAGAATAGCCACGAAAGAAGAAACGAAAGTTTACCCTGAGAGAGACTCTTTGATGTATCTTATTAGGGTGAGTGGAGAAAATAACCAGCTTATTATTTGCGATAATTGCGAGATCCCGAAAGGAGATTCGAAGGTATCCTCTCAACTTCCCGCCCATTGAACGCGCGAGGAACGATAACGTGAAGCGAGATATCACGCCGAACGGAAGACTGATTAACGCCGATCGAAGGCACGCAATATTCATTAGCGACGAGAGAGCGTGCGATTGCAGGACGATTAAACATACCTTACACGTTATATCGAGTCGAAACGTCGATGACGTGCCACAGAGCAAGTACGGTGAAGTGATCACGGTAAACTACGTATATACGCGAGAAAATAAAGAAACCCACGATACACCCACGATATTCGCGTGCGTTCTTCGCGTAATACAATTCTTTTTCAACGATTCAGAGTCGAGAAGCGACACGCTCTACGATAAGCGACATATAACTGGAAGTAATAAGAATAAATGACGGAAAGTCGAAGAGATATGTGAGTGCAATCGATATCGCACAATAAACTTCAATTTCAAACTCTTTTGCGACAATCGTCTATCGACGAGAAGACACGAGTCGAAACTTTGATCTTATTTTCGATCTCAATATTCTATTTAATGCCTATATTGATCTTCTCTGAAACCTACATCAGTCTCTTTTGATTTTATTAACTTACTATCTTTGGCAAGAAATCTTCTTTAGAACCTACAAGTGGTATTTTACATATTCTCTGTCACTTAAAAGTTCTAAGTAAGATTTCAGTTGCTACATGTTTCCCCGAGTCAAAATTTTAACTCTATTTTCGACCTCAATAGTTCATTCGACATCTATTTTGATACTCTGAAGCCTGTATCAATCTCTTTTGATTCTATTAACTACCCAGATAACATAATGTCTAAAATCAGGACATAAGACGTCTTAAAGATAATCTTTAAAGATAATCTTTAAGACGCTTTAAAAACATTTATACGTAGTAAATCGTCTGAAAGACATCTTAAAGATGATCTTTAAGACGTCTTATGTCCTGATTTTAGACATTATGTTGTCTAGATATCTTTACCAAGAAATCCTCTTTAGAACCTGTAAGTGGCATTTTGTGCATTTCCTAATATTTAAAAACACTAAGTAAGACCTCAGTTTCCATATATATCCCCGAATCGAAATTTTGATCCTACTTTCAATCTCAATATCTTATTGAATCTATGGCTATATCAACTTCTTCTTTAAGATTCTATTTAACCTGCTTTGCCAAGAGGTTTCCTTTAGAATCTACAAGTGGTATTTTATGCATTTCCTGCCACTTAGAGGCGCTAAGTGGTACTTCAGTTTCCATATGTATTAAACATATACTGATCTTTCAGGATATATAGATGTTAGAAAGTTCAGGTCGAAAGTTAAAATCGATAGATTTAGAAGTTAAAAGATCAGATCGAAGGTTAAAATTTCGACTCGGGGACGCGGCACAATATGCAATTTGGTCGTCTTGCGAGGATTCCAGCATATGCTGCGACAATCGCATCTTTCATTTCGCCGTTCGTAACGAATCTAATTAGCCTATTATACGTGGCGCCACGGCAGCACGCCGCGAGTACTACGAGTGACGTGTTATGAATCTAATTGAAACACAATCACGCCTTATCGAGTGGCAATAACGCCCCCGGCATTATTTGTCGGCGGACTGCGCCGTGCTAATCAAGTTCACCCTTGGCAGCAATTCAACGTATAATTGCCGCGGTCAAAGCTCACGTGATGCTTCGCTCTACTGCTATCGAAAGTAGCGGCGCTGATCTCGGAGTTATATACGAGCGCGAGGCTCGCGTTTCGCCACGCCGCGATATTCGCGCTGAAACCGAGACGCATACAAATACGCACGAGCGAGACTCGTGAGGTCGTCTCGATGTGTAAATATCGGAAAATTAAATTCATCGGGAGCGCTATCGCTGTGTTCGAACATTTATGCCTTACGGCGGATTTAATCATATTACTAATGTATTATACCGTGACCCCAAATATCGTCCTGCAGAACATGTGTCACGAGAAAATGTGTCACGTTTCAATTCCGACTCTGCGTGACCCTGCGAGCGAAAATATAATCCACATACCTTGGCACATTATTGTGATAATATGTAGTATACTGATGGTCAAGTATCGACTTCTTCTCTGTCGGTCCGCCATTTTTCCCTCGACGTGCACTTCAAGTTCCACAAGTGATCTGTAAGAACAAATAATACAGTCAGTCGCGACAATAGAAATTGATATAAGTCTGTAAGAACAGAGAGTTTGGTCGGTCGTAAAAAGAGAAATTGATATAAATCGGCCAGTTAAATACACGCAAGTTAAATATATGCCAGTTAAATATATGCAACAAATAAAATGTATATTTTGTATGCTATTTGACGTTTCTATTTCGTTATTTATTAAATTTTTTAAATATTTCTATAAAATACATATATTCTATGTAAGAGCTAAAGCTTCAATAGAAGTTCGCAACTGAACCTACTTTGCTTCCTAAGATCCTACTATTATACAACTTACTTTGACGCTACGGAAAGCGAAAGCGGAAATTTCAGATATCACTAGGATCAAAGTAGGAGTAAATTATATCATTAAAATTAAACTTACTTTGCTATTTTAGCTCCTACTGCGGTGTAGAATTCAAGGTTCAACATAGGCTCAAAATTTCACTTGTGTGAACTTGGCACACCATATTTAAAAATGTGACATTTTTTTTAGAGTTCTGATACTCTCTTGAAAAGTTCTAGAGCTCTATGCAACAATTTTAAATAGTTTCGGTCATTAAATACAAAAAAATAGACTTTTAAAAAAAGGTGCGCTAAGTTCACGTAGCGCACCTAATCAGTAAAATCAACTATTTCTTTAGAGTTCCGGTTTGTTTTACAATAGTTCTAGAGTTCTATATCATATATAACAATATCTATATCATATATATCATATATATCAATATTCTATATCATATATAACAATAGTTCTACTAATTAAAAGCGAAAAGTCGATTTGCGAAGACCTAATTCACAAAATGTGAAATACCGACAACAAAATAAGAGAGATTAACACTATTTCGCGAGTTCTGCATATTTGAAAATATTTTCAACATTCACTTGTAATCAGGGAATGAAAATATAAAGAGTTTTATGCGATAGTAGAAATAATTTCTTCATAAAAAATTATAAAGTGTTCGAGGTCGCGTAACTTTAGCAGCAGGACGGGTGCGCCAGCCGCACTTTGAGAGTTCCATTGGTTTAAAAATATTTTTAACGTTCACTTATGATCAGAAAATGAATGTCCAAAGAGTTCTGCGCGACAGCAGTAATAATTTATTTATAAAAAATCATATAGTATTCGAGGTCGCGTACATTTACGAGCAGGTGGGGTGCGCTACCTGCGCTTTGAGAGTTCTGTCGGTTTAAAAATATTTTCAACGTTTTTTTTGTTTTTTTCTTCTTTTGTTTTTTTGTTTCTTGTTTTTTTGTTTTTGTTTTTTTTTTTCAATTATTATTTTCAATGTTTTAATTCTATTGTTTTATATAAATGAGGATATGGGTAATGATTTTAAAATTGGAATGTAAAGGAATTCGTTTACGTGATAAATCGTCGTATTCGTACCACTTCAAACTTGTGTATACAATTCCTGTGTAGTGTCCTTTAACGGCGGTATGCTTTATGTACCTAATCGCCCCAACTAAATTATAAAATTGGCCCCCAACTTCAATGCGTTTACTTATTGCATTAAGCTTCATGTCATTTAGGGGCACTTTTGTATAATTATTATCCATCAAAATGCTTGTGTCGATAAGAATATGAGGACCGTACGTTAAATTGTAATGTTGTAATTTTTTACAATGTTTGCAAAAATAAGTTGTATTTATTGCACTTCCCGTATATATTTTCATTCCCTGATTACAAGTAAACGTTGAAAATATTTTTAAACCGACAGAACTCTCAAAGCGCAGGTAGCGCACCCCACCTGCTCGTAAATGTACGCGACCTCGAATACTATATGATTTTTTATAAATAAATTATTACTGCTGTCGCGCAGAACTCTTTGGACATTCATTTTCTGATCATAAGTGAACGTTAAAAATATTTTTAAACCAATGGAACTCTCAAAGTGCGGCTGGCGCACCCGTCCTGCTGCTAAAGTTACGCGACCTCGAACACTTTATAATTTTTTATGAAGAAATTATTTCTGCTATCGCATAAAACTCTTTATATTTTCATTCCCTGATTACAAGTGAATGTTGAAAATATTTTCAAATATGCAGAACTCGCGAAATAGTGTTAATCTCTCTTATTTTGTTGTCGGTATTTCACATTTTGTGAATTAGGTCTTCGCAAATCGACTTTTCGCTTTTAATTAGTAGAACTATTGTTATATATGATATAGAACTCTAGAACTATTGTAAAACAAACCGGAACTCTAAAGAAATAGTTGATTATACTGATTAGGTGCGCTGCGTTAACTTAGCGCACCTTTTTTTAAAAGTCTATTTTTTTGTATTTAATAACCGGAACTATTTAAAATTGTTGCATAGAGCTCTAGAACTTTTCAAGAGAGTATCAGAACTCTAAAAAAAATGTCATATTTTTAAATATGGTGTGCCAAGTTCACACAAGTCAAAATTTCGATTCGGAAATGAGTGTCAATATCGTCAAAATAGGTTTCACCTAGTTTGTAGATTATCTAAGTAGGCTAAAACTATTTTTAAGATTGTCAAAGTAGCGTCAAAATTTTGACAAGATAGAGTTAAAGGTTCAAAAGAGAAGTCAATGAGTATCAATATCATCAAAATAGGTTTTACCTAGGCTATAAACCGTTTAAATAGGCGCAAACTATCCTTAAAAGGGTCAAAGTAGCATCAAAATTTTAAATAGAAACGAATGAATGAAATAAATGAATAATTGAAATCAACTGAATCGAATTGGAAAGGCATATAAGAGTCTGGACGGGATATTATCCTAAAGTTGGTTATTACACCGAAAGTTTGTTATTAATTATACATACAGCGCGCGGCTCTTATAGGCTTTCCAATTCTGTTCAATTGATTTGATATGAGAGAACCCTTTATGTTGTATCTGAATTGAAACTAATGAAACGAGAATTGTAAAGTCTCGCGCGAGGCGAGCGCGCAGAACAATCGTCAGGATTTCGAGTATTTCTTCCGTGTCGCGACTTCTCCAACTTCGCCGGCTTCCGCTCGGCAACACGGGAAGACGAAGAAGGCGCGTGAGAATAAAGTGGTAGAGCGGTTTTGACGGAGTGATGAAACATATTTATTATCAATGATATAGCCCGCGTCGCGTGACCGCTGCACACCGCTGTTGTCCGCGAGCAAATAGATCGCCCGGGGGTTATTAGCGGCCTTCGGTAAATAACCCTATTTTATCATTAAGGATCGATATAAATCTAACACAATACACGCCGACGGGAGCGCCGGCTACGCAACACATGCACACGTCAATCCGCCATAATATGCACGTCCAAATGCATATTGCAATGTTGCAATATGCCGATTGGTCGGAAACGCGGGCAGCCGTGAAATCATTAACGCACGACTAAGTCAATGTAATACGCGGACGCAGTAATTAACGAACGTCCTATGTTAATCAGACTTATCGAGTTGAAATATATGCATAATACGCGACAAGATGTGACTGCTATTCACGGTTCAAGTTTGTATCCAATATCGCATGCACACGGCTCAATGACTATCGATGGCGTCCCGCGAGCACGAAGATCACATCAGCGTAAGATAACTCCATGAATAGAACAAGCTGTAATTATTTGAGGAATCGCCGATGCGGAGTCGATTATATGCGGTGTGCTAGTTATACATGCATTTACATGTGTATATGTATGCGCACGCGCACATACACGTACGCACGCGGGAATGTTATATTCGAAACACGGGTAGATGGAGAGGTTAGCCGACGAGAGAGCTGTTTTAATTCACTCGCATAGTGCGACGTCGATTCTCGATATGAATGGATACGTGCTCGTCTAACTCTTTCAATATTTAAATTAACCTGAATTGATGCACAGAGTGCGGCAATAACGATAGCACGATCGCGGATTGGCCTGTGCAAAAATATACTCAGAAAAATGTAATACCACTCTCAACGAAATCCTCTGAAAGCTACAAGATTTTACTCTTATACAGGGTGAGTCTCACGTAAGATCAGATCCTAAAATATCTCCATTGTCTTTTTCTGTTAGAGAAAAATCTGTGAGGAGAGAATAAATTGTCTGGTTGGGGGAGAATAGCTGAGCACAATATTTATCCCTTTCAACCACAACAATTTATTTTCTACACATTTTCCCTTAACGTGAGAAACAACAGAGATACTTAAAAATTTAACGTTAAGTGACTTACTCTGTATACATGACCTCTCAAGAGGATTCCTCTGGAATCAAAAAGAAAATATTCTAAGCACGATATTCTTCAAGTTAGAGGAATTTCGTCTTTCATCTACAATACAGGTTTTGCTTGTTGTGTCAGAGAGCATTCTGCTTCAAATAAACATATTCTTCTTGATTTAAAAGGACAAAGTTAGAACGAAGTCTAATAGATTTCCGATTAATACTCTACCTTATTAGAAGAGAAAAATTTTCTCGGGAAAAGTTTTCGCTTAGAATATGAGATTATAGAAAATATCACCTTGTAACTAGGATTATTTTTTTTTCTAGGTGTACAAGTCGATATTACGGAGCGATTGTTTGCTAGACGAGACTTTAAGTCTCGTGTCTCTTCACCCGGGTCTCTTTACAACGACGGGCTGCTTGACTAATTTATTATTCAATTTTCCTCCGACACAGATATTATCGAACAAATATTCCCGTTTCTGACACTTTCTAAAATATTCAACACTTAAATATAAATTACAATACACTTCTTAACAACAAAATTCCATCATGTAATTATCGTATCTCTGTGCATGTACAACGTAAATATTTCTGTTATTTCCATCTCGTAATTAGGCAGTAAATTACACACACACACACACACACTCATATATATATATATATATATATATGATCGTTTTTTTTTTGAAGATTCATTAAACCGGATATTTTCTGGATGAAGCCTGCCGTGCAACGAAAGTTTCTGTAGGCCATTATATGGATATTTAAAGTGCGAAAACCCTTCTAATATTACGCGCGTAATATGCAATTTATAACGTTATCACGAGTTT